TCCAGAAATCACGGTAGTAGCCCAGTGTCCTATATATTCAAATTTCGCAAAAGAGTTGTGATGCGCTAATTTTTTTTGAAACAATGTTGTTAAATGTGCGTGTGATGTGTACAGACTCACCTCCATGCTAGTCAGATTACATCGGTGAGTTCCGGCAAACCAGCCGTTGGTGGAGCACTGGTCGATATCCACGTCCTGTAGGTTCACATCCACGCGAACGATGCCCCCCTGGTTAGCGAAAAAAAAAAAAAAAAAAAGGGGGAGTGTAGTATTTGTCAGATAGTGTGAAAAGTAGGTAATACATGTAATACAGACAAGACAAATCTCGGGTTTACTGTAAGATCTGATCTGTTCTGATAAAAACAATTAAAGAGAACAATAGAAGACATGCCGTGGTGCCGAATGAGCTAGCTAGCTAATCTAGCTTATCGGTTTAGGAGCAGATAAATGAAGCGTTCGTGTTAAGTAAGATAAATGACGCGTTAAAGTCATGAGTCATAAAGGCTAAATGCTAAAATGCTTATACATTTTTTGACGCCATCTATTGGGGAAACGTGGGTATTGCAGGGGGGGGAAATGATGGAGTATAATGATAATATAAATAAATGATGTCATTGAATGAAAACAATTAAATTAAACAAAAAAAGCTGATAGGGCTGCATCCGGCCCCCGGGCCTTAGTTTGCTCATGCCTGTCTTAGACTGATGTCAACATTAAGGACAGCCGAAATCAGAGTTCGTTTATTGAATGTTTTCCCCTTTGTTTTCATGCAAAAAAAATAGATAAATCTTCGCAATTTAATTAAATATAATTTTATCAAACATTTCCTGAACATGAAGTGTTTGTGTATTTTTTTTTTTTTTTTATATTTTATTTTCAAAATTCATCAAGCAGGCCCACGCGGACCGGTTTTGGACCACGGCCCCTATGTTTGACGCCCCCTGGTTTAGTGTTTTTATATAACAATTTTTTTTTAGTGGCTTCCATTGAATTGAGCTGCGCTTAGATATAAAAAAAAGAAGTTATTTTGAGCAGGTATTTGTTACATATTTCACCCTAAAAATAAATCCGTGTTTCTAAATGTTTTCCTGTCATGCCGCCCCCTAGGGGTCAGAATTTTTTTTACCCACTGTATGAGCAGGATTCTGCATAGAATCCCCTTATTATTGAATGCGATAAATAGATGGATGTTTATCGAGCATAACTTAGACAAGATACTAAAAGTCCCCACTCGTGTCCCCGCCCCGACACCAGGAGGGGCGGCGCCCCACTATTTGAGAACCGCTCCAAAAAAAAAAAATTTGATTAATTGAACATTAATCTAACATACCGATGACGTCATCAGCCCTCACCTGAATTCCAGAGCAGAGTCGTTCTTCAGTCCGTAGAATCCTGCAGTTAACGTCAGCAACCAGTAGGGCACAAACGCTCCGTTCTCGCACTCCAAATACGGCGCTGACCACTTGATCTGATCTCTATTCAGGAGGTAACTCTCACTCTTGGCCAAAGAGCGCCTCCGTCCCTTCTTGAACTCGTGAACCCAATCCGACTCCGGGCTCTTGGCCCTCAGGTGCGGCCGTTCTTGGAGGACGACCACCTCCTCCTCATTCCCGGTCCGCACGGCCTGGAGGGAGACGCGGGAGCGCGGCGCCGCTGCGTCCGTGTGAAAGGTGAGCACGGCCCGGTGGATTTTCGCGTCGCCCTCGAGGATACTTCGCACCAGCGCGTTGTACCAGTGAACGTCCACGTTGACGCTCTCCGTCGCGAACCTGTTGGCCTGCAGGAGCGTGTTCAGAAAGTTCGCGGCGTGCGCCAACGTGTCCAGGACGCCGTGGAGGGAATGGTGGGACGCGACCTGCGGGCCACCTTTCAGGCTGCTGAGCTCGTACCTCTTCGAACAGGTGACCTGACCGAGGGCCGACGGGTCTCCGCTGTGGAGGAACGCGGTGACCACTCTTGGCAAGTCTTCCTCGATCTTGTGAGCGACCAACGTGCGCTCTGTTGTCAGTAACGAGTACGGGTACGTGGGCCGGTGGTGGGGCGGTTCCCGGTGGGTGTTCTGCTTGCTGGAGACCGCCGGGTTTCGGTCTTCCCGGTCGCTGTCCGACCACTCCACGTATCCATAGTTGGAGCCGAGGACCTGGACTGCGATGTGCAGGAGGAGCGCAAGGAGCAGCAGAGCCATGCTTGTCAAGGCATAACCCTAAACCAGTCGCTGGTGTAGCCCTTTTCGGATATGGAATCCGTACGAAATCCAGCGCATTTTTAAAAAAAAAAAAATCACTCCGTCTCTATTCTCCAGCTGCCCAGACGCTCACCTGTCTCCAAAAAAAAACAAAAAAAAAAACAACAGACTTGCTTAGCTCTCTTAACTGTCCAATCGCATGGAGCTCCAGCATCTGTCACGTCTCCGTGCGAAATCCATGTAATCAGCGATGACGAAGACTAACTAGAGAAAAAAAAAAAAATGGAAAAAAAAAAAAAAAATTATATCAGCACCCATCGCTCTTTCATTCCCGCTCCGTCAAACCTCGACAGGGCACTTGCGAAGTGTCGCCCTCCTTCAATAGTGTTCAGCTTATTTTTCTCTGCCCGTGGGCGGGGCGTAGGAGGAAGCGGAGCTGTCCGGTGCTGAAAGGAACGCCTGTGGGAAGAGATGTGGTAGTGATGATGGCGGCTGGAAAGCTGAAGGGGGAAAAAAAAAAAAAAAAAAAATTTTAAAAATGCAACTCTTGCAGTGATGGAAAGAAAAATGAGATTTGGGGTCGGCTTTTTTTTAAATTAATTTGTTCCTTTTTTTTTTTTTTTTTTTAGAATCACAAGTTGATCTTCTAGCTAGCGATGCTGATTTTTTTTAGGACATATTGTGTCATCGTGAAAAAAAAAAGGAGAAATCACTGCATATTTTTAAGACAATAGCATGTGAATCATCAAGTCTACAAAAAAAACAATAGAGCACATGTGTCAAACTCAAGGCCCCGGGGACCAAATGTGGCCCGCCTAGCCGTGTTGCGCGGCCCGCGCGGATGTTAAAAGACATTTAGTAAAGTCCATGCAGGCTAAGAAATTAAAAGTTTTTAATAATCAATCAAATAAATAATCAATTGCAGAAACATGTATTACGGAGTTACCAGCGGCCCCTGATTTTTTTTTTTTTTTTGTTTAGAATCACAAGTTGATCTTCTAGCTAGCGATGCTGATTTTTTTTAGGACATATTGTGTCATCGTGAAAAAAAAAAGGAGAAATCACTGCATATTTTTAAGACAATAGTATGTGAATCATCAAGTCTACAAAAAAAAACAATAGAGCACATGTGTCAAACTCAAGGCCCGGGGGACCAAATGTGGCCCGCCTAGCCGTGTTTTGCGGCCCGCGCGGAGGTTAAAAGACATTTAGTAAAGTCCATGCAGGCTAAGAAATTAAAAGTTTTTAATAATCAATCAAATAAATAATCAATTGCAGAAACATGTATTACGGAGTTACCAGCGGCCCCTGACCCTTTTTTTTGTTCCAAGGACTGGTCAGCCATTAAAAAACCCCATTATACTTTTGTGCGATACTTCAGTATGCTGATGATGTCATCAAATCTTTGCCGTTCAGACCTAAGTAGAGTACGAAGCAGGGAGCAGCTGTCCTCTTCACAGGTGCACGTGCATCTCTGTTGTTGTTTGTGAGAAAGCGCACATTCATGCGGATTTGGCCGGTTACGTTCAACGCTCTCATCTCCCTCGATCGTCCTCACAGACTGTTGCCATGGTAGTGCAAGGTTGATGACCACGAATTTACCTTATCTGCCCCGCTGACTGTCGCACCTGGTGCCTGTTAAGTTAACTTTTTTTTTCCTGTTCTGCATTTACATGCAAAAGGGAAGGACACGTCGTCGTATATCACATATATTTTATATGACGTAAATATCGAATCACCAGCCAAAAACGAGGTCGTGCGGTTGAGTTAATTAAACCACGCGAGAAGTGTCGTATGGGCATATATTTTTTTTTCCCCCCCCCTCCACACCGGTTCTGAAAATAGAACATCGGAGTGACTTTACAACCTGACCTGATGAATATTTCACGGACGGTTCCTGCTTCGTCTACATGCATTATAACACGGGCGGGGTCTGCACTGCGACTGCGGTGTATTATTTATTTACGGTAACAATATTTAATCTCTCGAGTTTACGGGGAAAGACCTGCCCCGAAAAATGCGCGCACAGGTCAGGGTATTTCAAATGTTTCAGGTTACCAGATTTTTTTACAAAGCGTTATCGGTAATAAAAATATTTTCATTTTCTCTATATAATTTTTTTTTTTTATTTTTGGAGCTATATCGCGGTATTTTACGGTAAAATGAAACTAAACTAAAAGACACGAAGCTGGAAGCTTTGTTTAACTAGAGGAGCTCGAACGCAGCATTGAGAGTGCTCTTCCGTTCCTCACGCTGATTGGCTCGTGCGTCGTCGCGTCTCCCTGACCTGGGTCTGTCCGTCCGCCCGCCTCTCGTTCAGCTTTCGTTGCTCTCGTTGATGATGATCTTCGTTCGGGCTTCTGTTACGAAGCCCCTAAACGAAGACGCTGACGCAGATGACAGTTAAGAAGCCTTTATCTTTACAATGACGTCCACTCCTGCAGCTTTCAAATACGGTTCGTCCGTCTTGGCTCCCTCTTGCGGACAAAAATACTATTGAGAACCTCTTAACGTGTATACAGATTTTTTTCATCTGTACAAACCACTGTTATGAGTTGCTGCCACCTAGTGACCGGAAAATTTGTTATCATTCATTGGAAGTCTGATATCATGAAAAAAAATATAAATTTTTTTATCTTATGTATGAAAATACATACAGCTTTTTCAATGATTATGTATCGGTGGCTAAGCTATTTCAAGGTACGCTAGTGTATGTTACGTGTCAATTAAATCAATAATAATTCCATTAGGCCACACCCTTAACAATTAGAGTGAAAACAAAGTCTTATAAGACGTGAATATTAAGAGTCTCGACGCCATCAAGTAAGTTTCTTTATTTACAAGACAACATTTGGATATATCCACTCGATTCGTAGCTGCAGGAACAGCTGCAGTAACGACCAGGAAAACGGGGATTTTCAACTTCTCAACAAGCGTTCCCCCCGACATCCGTCACCACACAGCACACGAGGCTTGAGCTTCCACGAACAGCTCCGCAAAACAGTAACGTCCGTCGGACTCGAAACATCGAAGAAAACTAACAGAGTTCCGACGCTACTAGTAGAATCAGCTACCGCATCCTCTAACGGCGGACACAGCCGGCGCCCGTTTTTATGGAGGAGCTCCTGGAGTGGATAATGCTTCTTTCCAAAACCAGCTCTAGCTGCAGATAGATGAGAACCTCTGGAACTAAAAAAAAAAAAAAAAAAAAAAAAGCCACCACGGTTTTCAGATGGGAACAGAAAACACGAGACGATGGGAAGCAGTTCTAACGCTGACCATGACTATATCATCCCTTTCATGCATGACGGTCACTACGGTGGACAGCTATTAAAATGTCATTTGGATTACAGCGGATTCTCAGGCGTCCACTGTAGAGGCGTATATGCAACACTGCCATCAAAACCTATTCTTATCGCAGAAAATGACATTTTTAATAGCTGTCCACTGTAGTGACCGTCATGCATGAAAGGGTTATTATGACGACTCTCCTTCACATTCAATGTAAAAAAAAAAAAAATTTGGCAATCCTCGACTTAATGGATTAACAGATGACCAGTACTACAGATCAATTGCTTGGGTGATACGATAAATACATTTATAGTTGCACTGCATGTAATAGTACCAGGAAGTAGAGACTATACTATACTCAGGTTCAGTTCACCGGGAAAACATGTCCAACAGTGAGGAAGACGGCCCAAAGGTCATGACGAAATGGGCAATAGGCAATTTATTCGTCGTGAAAAAACCTGAAGAAATAAAGCACGCTTTACAAAGTCTAAGCTGCGGGGAAAAAGGGGCGTCTTACTCCGTGTACTGTACACAAACGTGAACCTCCAACCAAATTACTCAGTGTTGAACTCGGGCCCGGTCATTTGAACACTACGCTTTCACGCCGGCAGGATTAAAGAAAGACGCATGCATCTTCGACGGCGCTACGGAAGATATCAAAGTGTTCCGGCTAGCGCTGTCACGTAAGAAAAACCCAACAAATATAGTTGCGGTAAATAAATAGTAGCTTTCTTTCAATAACGTCCCACTGTACACTGTGATTGGTTGGGAATCACCGACTGAGACGGACCTGATTTTTGGCCAGTCCAAAAGCGGCCCACATATCAAAACGAACCATCTTCGAAAGAGCTCTCCATCATGGCGGAAACAGACAAAATACTTGTTAGTTCTGAAGTTCCTGGTACTATGCAGCAGAAATACCGAACCTTCCATTTCAGCATCGCAATTTAAATAGTTCTAAATGATTTATGACGTACGAACGGAGGAGGAGACGAAGCACAAGTTCGCGTTAACAGTCTTCAGTACTCGTCTAGTCTGCAAGTCCGGATCGTCACGATCCGGATCAGGTAATGCAAATTGTGTCCATTATTTTCTTATAAAAATCACATCATGGTTTTATCCCCCCCCCAGTTAATCACCACTTCTGTGCTTCCGTGGCTATAAACAGAAATTTCTCGACACGTAGCTATAACTTTATTCTTTATTCTAGTTAACCCGCAGTGTCAAAACAGGAAGCGGACTTCGCGAACACGCAGGCATCTGTCATCCGATGTCTTCTGGACATCAACTCCAGAAGCTATGACTGCGCGCCGTATATGACATCTTTCTCCCGACGTCAAATGCGGAGATGGGAATAGATGGGCGGGAAAAATAGGGAGCGTCTACAGTTGTTGTCCAAAAGGTCTCCAGGGAGGATCAATTAGTAAAAGTCTCCGTTCAAAGTTTTTAATTTTGTTTTCCTGCTCCCCAAACTTCCAGGAAACCTCTCTCTCTCTCTCTCTTCTTTCAGTCCGTCTGTACTCCATTGTTTTATCGTTCCCTTGTCGTCTTTCCGCAGGAGTTCAAGAAAACGGCAACACAGCAGCTCTGCGTTTCCTCTCAATTCTCAATCGTCTGTTTTGATTTTTTTTTTTTTCTTACTTCCCTTTTGCATATTTATCCATTTAAAAAAAAAAAAATGAAGATCCACGTTTTGTTATCGTTGCTTCCAATAATCCCGCCACAGATCTGGTCAGAGGGTCCTGGTGGTCATATTGGAAATCCGGTCAGTAGGAGGGGACAGACGAGGTGGCAGGCTGCAGCGCCCCGGAGGAGTTAGAACGCCTCATGTGAGGGAGTAGATAGGTGTCCGAACAAAGCTGATGGACGTCAAACCTGTCTTCCTTGCGGTAGGCGAGACATCGGCGGATAAATGCCTGCGGAAGGCAAGCGAACCAAGTCAGAGGAACTCCTGTCTTATACGCCAACGAAGCGGTAAAGTGGTCGGGTTTTTTTTTTCACCGTACAGCTTCAGATAATTACAGCGATACCTCAGGTCACAAACTTCGTTCGTTCTTTGTACTATGTTCGCAACCCCAATCTTTTTTTTTTACCCATTGCAATTAACTTTTTTTTTTTTAATCCGTTCTTTGGCTTCGAAACTTTTTTTTTTTTTTTTTTTTTTTTTAAGAGATCTGACCATTTTCATGTTTAGCTATTATTTCCTTATTTTTGTCTCAACAAAATATATGTTATATATTTTGTTGAGACAAAAATATATAATATATTTAGGGTTCTTAACATCACTTTTACTAACAGCGCTCACTTGTTTTTTTGGGAGCCATAATAAGGAGTGAATTCAATGAAATCAAGAAAAAAAAAAAAAGAGTATCAACACTCAATGACGAACAGTGTTAGCGTTACGCTAACCACTTGTTGTTCGGATACTAAATGCACGAGAACTGGGACGCTGCTGGGCGAGTCGCCGGGTGTCTCGTGTGGGCGAGGATTGGAACCCCTCACGTGTGCGCGCGCGTCTCCGAATTGTAGCATTGCTCGTGAAACGAAGCAGAAATTTGTTCGAAACTGATGTTCGTAGGCTAGGTTTGTTTGGTATCACTGTAAATGTTATCTGGAGGTGAATACAGCATCATTCTTCTTTACACTTTTTTTTTTGGAATTAGCTGTACACGACAGAATCCAGATAATTGTGCATACATTTCTGTAAGTCTACAACATAACGAACAAAACAACATTACCTTGGCCTCTGTGCTGGCCTGTGGTTTAGCAGGAAACTGGACCTCAGTGGCTTTGAGGATGGTGTTCTCCTGCAGAATATCTTGCTGAGACTGGTTGTGACCAAATGGCTACAGGAAAAGGACAGAAAATGAACTTTTTCCAGCATTTTTCAATTTAAAGAGTACTCTAGAAGTATTTACTGTACTATTCTGGAAGTCGTCATCATCTGGTCTCTAATGACTTTTTTATTTTCTGAAGTATATATATATATACATACATATATATATATATACATACATATATATATTGCAATTGGTGCATTTCTTCAGAGAATATGTTTATATATACATATATATATACATATATACATACATATACAGTATATATATATATATCGCAATTGGTGCATCTCTTCAGAGAATATGTGTATATGTGTATATATACATATATATACATATATACATATCTATATACATATATACATATACATACATATATACATATATATATATACATACATATATACATTATACATATATATATACATATATACACACATATATACATATATATATACATATATACATACATACATACATATATTCTTCCAATAACGATATGAGGCTCGGACATGTTGACTGCTAATCTTTGTAAAACTGATAACCTTTAGGCAGAAGGTGGAACGAACAATGTGCATTAACAAGGTTCCCCTTCATATGTTTTGGTTTTGGTACCCGCGTATTTGATACCAAACCTCTTGTATCGAACTGTTTGTGGGAAAAAAAATACATGTACCGTTCCGGCCCTAGTGCAATTGTTAGGCCTTGTACCTTGCGTCCATAGAGACACTGGAAGAAGATCACTCCCACAGACCAGACGTCCACCTTGTTGGAAATCTTGGGTGGCTCCTTCCCCACCACAAAACATTCTGGAGGAAGATACCTGCCAAAACATACACACCGTATTTATCTATTCTTTTATTTGAAAGAGTTTTTTTCAGTGATTGGGAGAGGGAGACTACTACAGTAAAAAAGTAGCTACTAAGCCTTCTTTAAACGATGTGAACCAAATTTTTTTTTTTTCAAACGCAATAAAAGCAATTTAAAGATTGGGTATTCCAGGACTGTATGAGAAGTCGGGAGTGGCAGAGAAGTATGTGAGGGGTGTGCGGGGCACACGTAAGGCCAGCAAGACAGTAGTTTCGTTGCCATGCGACACGTGGTGTTTGTAGGTACATTAAAGATCAGTACCCTAATTTTGTTTGATATGGTAATGATAAATGAGGTCAGGCAGGAGGCTCCATGGATCACGGCGTTTGCCAATGACATTTGACGTTCTGTAGTGAGAGTAGAGAGCGGGTAAAATTTTGCTTCGGAGAGAAATGAGGAATGAAGGTCAGCGGGAGCAAAACAAAATATATCCGTGTTGACGAGTAAGGCGGAGGTGAATGACTTGAGAGGTGGGGGAAAAAAAAGGTTGGTCGAAGGATATCGGATGTTGCCATGAAAGAGGAAGACTCCCGAGAAGATTTACGGATGTGGTGAAAGACAGCATGGAAGATGGAAGATGGAAGATGGAAGATTTGCCAGAAGAAGAGATGAGCTGAGCTGAAGATGTTGAAGATGAGTGTTTTGGTCGGTGTCTATTTTTTTTTTTTTTTCTTTCATTGTGTATGTATGCGTGTCATTTACCAGTAGGTGCCAGCGCCCTGTGATGTTAGGTCCATCCCATCTACACCATAGTTATCATCATCCATGATCTTTGAGAGGCCAAAGTCTGTGATTTTGATCTCTCCGCATGCAGTACCATCCACCAACAAGATGTTTCCTGATATAACATGCAGTAACAAACTGTGAGACCATAGTTGAAACAAGTCACAGGTGAAAAAAAAAAATATATCCCCTAACACCGGGCATTACACCAGCCTCGTCGGGTTATTCATTCACTAAGAGACATGGTTGCAAATATATTAGTCATCCAAAGGTATTATACATATTTATCTTTAAGTTTCACTGATCAAAAGTTTACGTTTTCCGTCGGGCAAAATTTTTATCCTTCGACAAATTTCAGGCAAATTTGTCGATATGCTTCTTTCATGTTGTTCAAATGGGGAAACATTTGCGAACATTTCTGCAGTTTCTAAAAATGTTGTTGAACCATTCAACAAAGTCCCGTCACGCATATTTAATCTCTTGAGTTTACGATATTACAACTCTTTGTAAAAAAAAACGACTCACCGGGTTTGAGGTCATAGTGAATGATGGGGGGTTTGATTTCATTGAGGTAGCGCAGCGCGCTGACGATCTGCATGACAATGGAGCGAGCCTCCTTCTCTGACATCAGCTTGTTCTGTTTCAGGTAGAAGTCCAGGTCATTCCCTTCGCAGAACTCCAGCACGGTACAGAACCTGCAGGGGGCGCAAAACAGTCGTAGATTACATGAAAAACGTGTACTAACACGAGTTAGTTCCCAATACTAATTACTTGGTGGCAATGCTGCGTGTGAGATTCTCACATTCGCTGATGATACAGTATACTGTACCGTTACTGGTAAAAAGTATTACGTCGTACCATCTCTTTTTTTATAACCTTTTTTTTTAAAAACTGTACCGTTACTGGTAAAAAGTATTATGTCGTACCATCTCTTTTTTTTAAATGTGTCAGCACCACATTTTATTACATTTTTGCAGACACATTTTCGAAATAGCTACATTAGGAAAAGGTGGTACGATAATATCACATACCGCAACGCTGAGCTACCCTGACTCACCATAGGCGAAATTCTTTGACTGCGACTTTATTTTTACTCTTGGATACGTATGTATATACGTAACTCCTCATCACATTTTAAATGAAATAAAAAGGTACTTTGCTCTGACTTGCGGCCGTGATGTCATTACCTAAGGGAAACTAGCGACGTCGACTGCTTAGGGTGTTAGCAACCGCCGGTTACTTATGTTTACGACGACACTGAGTCATCGTTTATCACAGACAGGGCGCGGGGTGGAGCCCATTGCGAACATTTTGGACGGTTCGCCAATCCATTATGGGGACTGGCATATACACAAGCCAACAAAGTATTAAAACTCACACTTTTTAGCCTCTTCTACGCCATCTATCGGTGAAATGCAGACAATGCAGGGAAAAGGCAGAAGTATTATAATAATAATAATATAAACATATATCTATCTATCTATATATATATATATATATATATATATATATATATACATACATATATATATACATATACATACATATATATATAC